AAATCTAAAATTGACTAAAAAATTTACTTTCATCATTGTAAAATCACTTTGTGAAAGCTTGTTTCATGTTGAATTTAGTTGAAAACAAATTTAAGAAATTCATAAGCAACTCAACTCATCTTATAATTTTGTGACAATATTATACTTTTCATTGGCCTTGAATATTTTCAACAACAATTAAGGGCCCTTTTAGTAATTTTTTTTATATATACATTGCCAAATTTTGAATAATAAAAATTGAGCTCTTAAGGTTAAATTAAATTTAAAATTAAATCTAACCTGTGCGTATATCTTAAATTTTATTAATTTTTGAAGCTATAATTAATTTTGCACAAAATTTTATATCAAATTCATATTTTTTTTTTATAAATTTTGAGTATAAATATTATATTTTACTTCAATTTTACATTTTATATTTCATCTTAATTAAATCTAATATAAAAATTTATACAGAACTAATTGAAAATACTACATTTAATGAAATTTAACTTATACCTGAGCTTAAGTAAAAATTTCCTCTTTTTTTATTTACAATTCATGTATTTTTAAGTTAATTTTCACTTATTTCAAGACTACTTTCATTTTAACAATCATAAAATTATAACCCCATATCTATATATCTAATAAGTTCAGGTTAAATTTAATAAATAGTCTATTAACTATGTGATTTATTTCAGTTTAATCTAGAAACAATTTTTTCTTTCAAAATGATCTATAAACTATCAATTGTGTTTTAAAATGATTTATAAACTATCAATTTTATTTCAAAATGGTTTACTTGACAAACATTCTGTTAACTTACTAACGGAATTCCTTCTAGTTGTTGACAAGTTGCCCCTTAAACTTTTGAAAAATATTAAATATAGCACATATATTTTTATTTTTTACAACATTTTGTTTTTGAAATTCAAATTTTTTTTGTCAAATCTAATAATTAACCAAGATGAAATTTTAATTTACATTCATTAAGATTCGGTTTAAGTACCATTTTGGTCCCTCAACTTTTCACTTTGGTACCAAAATTGTCCCTCAGCTTTAAAAAGTACCAAAATTATCCTCAAACTTTCATTTTCGGTACCAAAATGGTCCTTCCGTCAGTTAAATGACAGGTGTCACGTTAAAAATGCCAGCAAATCATTTTTTTTTGCTTAACTCTAATGACATGGAAAAAAATATAATTGAATATGTTTTATTATGAGGTGGAATTTTTTTACAGTGGCATTTTTTTACACGTCAGATTATCATCTTTCTCCTCTTAATGGGGCCCACATAAAAATTTATTTTCTCTTTTTCCAGTTTCAATCAAATTC